CTGACACAACATATCAAAATCTCTGGAACACTATGAAGGCGGTACTAAGAGGAATGTTCATTGCATGGAGTTCATTCCTTAAAGAAGGAAAAGTCAACAAATAAATGACCTAACATTATATCTGAAAGCCCTAGAAAAAGAAGAAAAAAATCAACACCAAAAGCAGTAGAAGACAGGAAATAATTAAAATTAGAGCTGAAATCAATGAATTGAAACAAAAGAAACAATTGAAAAAATTGACAAAACAAAAAGTTGTTTCTTTGAAAAAATAAATAAAATCGACAGACCCTTAGCCATGCTAACGAAGAGAAGTAGAGAGAAAACCCAAATCACTAACATATGTGATGAGAAAGGAAATATCACAACAAACACTACAGAAATACAGAAGATAATTAGAAATTATTTTGAAAACTTGTACTCCAATAAAATATAAAATATCAAAGGCTTCAACAAATTTCTTGAGTCATATGATTTGCCCAAATTGAATCAGGAGGATATACACATTTTAAACAGACCAATATCAAATGATGAAATAGAAGATGCCATCAGAAGCCTACCAACAAAGAAAATCCAAGACCTCATGGACACACAGCCAAGTTCTTTAAGAGCAAGAACTTTAAAGAAAAACTAATACCAATACTCTTCAATTTATTTCAGGAAATAGAAAAAGAGGCAGCACTTCCAAACTCATTCTATAAGATCAATACCACCCTGATTCCCAAACCAGGCAAAGACACATCAAAGAAAGAAAACTTCAGACCAATATCTCTAATGAACGTACATACAAAAATTCTCAATTAAAATTCTGGCAAATCGAATACAAAAATATATCAAAAGGATTGTGCACCATGATCAATTGGGGTTCATCCAAGTGATGCAAGGTTGGTTCAACATACGGAAATCAATAAATGTAATTCATCACATAAATAGATTAATTAAAGATAAGAATTATATGATCATCTCAATAGATGCAGAAAAATCATTCAACAAAATATTGTACCCCTTTATGTTCAAAACACTAGAGAAATTAGGGATAACAGGAACATACCTCAACATCATAAAGGCTATCTATGCTAAGCCCCAGGCCAACATCATTCTAAGTGGAGAAAAATTGAAGGCATTCCCTCTAAAAACTGGAACAAGATAGAGATGCCCTCTTTCACCACTCTATTTAACATAGTTCTTGAAACACTAGCCAGAGCAATTAGACAAAAGAAATTAAAGGGATATGGGTAGGAAAAGAAGAACTCAAATTAGCACTATTTGCAGATGATATGATTCTATACCTAGAAGACCCAAAAAGTTCCACCAGAAAATTTCTACAACTAGTAAGTGAATTCAGCAAAGTAGCAAGATATAAAATATAAAACACCCATAAATCAAAGGCATTTCTGTATATCAATGACAAATCCTCTGAAAGGGAAATGAGGAAAACTACCCCATTTAAAATAGCCTCAAAAAAGTAAAATAAAATACTTAGGAATCAACGAAAGAGGTGAAAGACCTATACAATGAAAACTAAAGTAAGAAATCAAAGAAGACCTTAGAAGATGGAAAGATCTACCTTGCTCTTGGATAGGCAGAATTAATATTATCAAAATGACCATACTTCCAAAAGCACTATACAGATTTAATGCAATTCCAGTCAAAATCCCAATGTCATTCCTCATAGAAATAAAAAAAGCAGTCATGAAATTCATCTGGAAAACTAAGAGACCCAGAACAGCTAAAGCAATCCTTAGCTAGAAGGGTGAAGCAGGTGGCATCACTACACCAGACCTTAAACTATACTATAGAGAAATAGTAACAAAACCAGCATGGTATTGGCACCAAAATAGACTGGTAGACCAATGGTACAGAATAGAGAACACAGAGACTAACGCACAAAATTACAATTGTCTTATATCAGACAAAGGCACCAAAAAATACATTGGAGATAAGATAGTTTCTCCAACAAATGGTGCTGGGAAAACTGGAAATCCATATGTAACAAAATGAAATTAAAAGCCCTATCTCTCACCATGCACAAAATTCAACTCAAAGTGGATCAAGGACCTAGGAATTAAACCAGAAACACTGCGTCTAATAGAAGAAAAAGTAGGCCCTAATCTCTATCATGTAGGATTAGGCCCCAATTTCCTTAATAAGACTCCTGTAGCATAAGAATTAAAATCAAGAATCAATAAATGGGATGTATTTACACTAAAAAGTTTCTTCTCAGAAAAAGAAACAATCTGTGAGGTGAATAGAAAGCCTACATTTGGGGAGCAAATCTTTACCCCTCACATATCAGATAGAGCACTAATCTCTAGGGTATATAAAGAACTCAAAAAGCTAAACACCAAAAAAAGCAAATAACCCAATCAATAAATGGGCCAAGGACCTGAAAAGACACTTCTTAGAAGAGGATATACAATCAATCAACAAATACATGAAAAAATATTCATCATCTCCAGCAATTAGAGAAATGCAAATCAAAACTACTCTAAGATTTCATCTCACTCCAGTCAGAATGGCAGCTATTAAGAATACAAACAATAAGTGTTGGCGAGGATGTGGGGGAAAAGGCACACTCATACATTACTAATGGGACTACAAATTGGTGCAGCCAATATGGAAAGCAGTATGGAGATTCCTTGAAAAACTGGGAATGGAACCACCATTTGACCCAGCTATCCCTCTCCTCAGTCTATACCCAAAGAACTTAAAAACAGCATACTACAGGGACACAGCCATATCAATGTTTGTAGCAGCATAATTCACAATAGCTAAATTGTGGAACCAACCTATATGCCCTTCAGTAAATGAATGGATAAAAAAAAAAGTGGTATATATACACAATGGAATATTACTCAGCAATAAAAGAGAATAAAATCATGGCATTTGCAGGTAAATGGATGGAGTTGGAGAATATAATGCTAAGTGAAGTTAGCCAATCCCAAAAAACCAAATACCAAATATTTTCTCTGATATAATGATTCTGATTCATAGTGGGGTAGGGAAGGGGAACATGGGAAGAATAGATGATAGGGCAAAGGGGTGGGAGGGTAAAGGAAGGGGTATGGGGGTAAAAAACATGTTGGAATGAGATGGACATCATTACCCTAAGTACATGTATAAAGACACAATGGTGTGAATATACTTTGTATACAACCAGAGATATGAAAAGTTGTGTTCTATATGAATTGTAATGAATTCCACTGTCATATATAGCAGATTAGAATTTTTAAAAAAAAATTTAAAAAGATTTAAGCACAAGTTCTGGCATAAACCTGGAAAAAAAGGAAATACTTATGCTCTGTTGATGGAAATGCAAATTGGTACAGCCATGTGAAAAAAAACGTATGGAGATTCTTCGAAAAATTAAAATAGAACCACCATATAATCCAGCAATCCCACTAGTATGTATATATCCAAAGAAAATGAAATCAGTCAAAGAGACATCTGCATTCTCATGTTCACTGTGACTATTCACAATAGCCAAGAAGTGGAAACAACTAAAGTGTCCATCAACTGATGAAGAAATAAAAGAGTGTGTGGGACGTATATCCAATGAAATACTGTTAAGCCATAAAAAAGAATGAAATCTGTCATCAGCAACAACATGGACAGAAATGGAGATCATTATGTTAAGTAAATAAACCTGACATAAAAAAACAAGTACTGCATGATGTCACTCATATGTGGAATCTGCAAACATTGATCTGACATAAGTTGAGAATAGACTGGGGACTACTAGAGGCTGGGGAAGAGAGGGAAGGATGAGGGAAGGTTGATCAGTGGGTACTAAGTTACAATTATAAGCAAAAAATTCTGGCGTTAAATGTTCTTTCAACCTACACCTATGTAATTTTTAAAATTTAATTTTTAAAACTTTTTATTGTGAAAAATGTTCAGCATACACAAAAATAGAGATGATAGAATAAAGTCGTGAATCCATTTTAAATGAGTTTTAAAAAAAGGAAAACGAACTGCAAATTTCTATTTGTTCATACTTTCTGTCATTGAATATTATGGTTTATACTGTGTAACATGGCACAATTCACTGTAAAGAAAGGTAATTTTGTATTACTGTTCTCTAAATAAAGAATAATTTAAGTATTATATATTTATATAACTGTAAGTCTCAATCTCTCTCTTTACCTCCCCCTCTGTCCCTCCCTCTCTCATAATGATATGTGCTAAATCTGGTTGTCTATAGAAAACTTAGGAAAATAAAACTAGTTTAGTAGGCAGTAAAGAGTATAAAATGTTTATAATTTATGTTTTCCATTAGAATATAATTGATTTTAATTGATATCCTTTTTGTAACTCTTAAACATGACAATATCCTTTGAGATTTAATCATGAACTTCACCGGTATTCCTTTGTTCAGCTAGACAATAATTACGTAACTCACTCCTGTTATAGGTAAAACTTAATAAATGAAACTCAAGTAGTTTCACTTTTCTTTTTGTTAACAATGTAGCTAAATGTCTTAATTTAATGTTAGAAATGTGCTTTCTGAGGAAATGAATAATAAATGGCTTCAAAATTTCCCCTTTCCATTTATACTCTTGAATATTTTAGAGAACTCCAAAGAGCTTTTTTTGTGGGAGATTGTCACCTACCTAATTTCCATTAAGAAATCAAGTCAGGAAGGTTTAAAATGCTAAAATACACAAGTACACATTCTATTGCCTTCAGAGCACTCCTGAGATGAGGGTGAAAAGGTAACTAATCTTTTACTTTTATTAGGGAATAGTGGTTTTGGTTTTGGTTTTTTACTACCTATGCTGAAAAGGTCTTTGGTACCTCCAAGGAGTCTTTACTTTACCATACTTTGAGACCTGTTATTATAGATAACTGAAAGATGGTCATATCTTTAATTATAATATATTTGCACATATTCAGCTTTGTAAATTCCTTTCTCATAATGTAGTTTACATGATCTAAACCAGTAGGAAAGGATATTTACATGTGCATATCAACAGGGAAATTCCCTTTTCTTTTGTCTTCAGTTATGGAAATTCCTGAAGCCTAATACTCCACTGGAATCTCGCATTTCTAAGCAGTGGTGTGAAATAGGTTTCCAAGGTGACGATCCTAAGACAGATTTTCGAGGAATGGGACTTCTGGGACTATACAATTTGCAGTAAGTAAAATGAAGAATAATTGAATGTTAGAGTGATGTTTTGAAATGACAAAGTGGAGTTACTGTTTATAAAAGTCACTTCCCAAAAAGTCCAAGAAAATATTCAAGTTCTCTCAAAGGTAATTCACATTGATAAAATTTAAAAAGTTACCAGCATCTTCTTCTAATTCAGCAGACTTCACATATTTTTTTAAAATGTTGTCAAATATATTTTTTATTTTCTTATTATGAAAACTCTAAGCATATGCAAAAAATAAGGAAGATGTTATAACATCTTATGTTGACCACTCAGATTCATTAATTGTCAAGGTTTGAAATACTTGCAATCCTATTTTTCTGACAGAAGTATGTTAATGAAAATCCTATACTGTTTGTCATTTCACCCCTCATATTGAAACTGGATTTTCAGCCTCTGCTGCTGTAGTGTTGCAGCAGATCCCATCCACCTGCCAGTGGCATCTTTCTGGGTTCTTGTATCTTGAATTCAAAGAATGAAATCCACAGACAAGGAAGAGTAAGGAAAAAGAGTAGGATTTATTCAAGTGAAAAGGAAAAAAGCCAGGTGCAAGTGGTGCAGGCCTGTAACTCCAGCGGCTTGGGAGGAGGATCACCAAGTTCAAAGCCAGGCTCAGCAACAGCTAGGTGCTAAGCAACTCAGTGAGACCCTGTCTCTAAATAAATTCAAAATAGGACTGGTGATGTGGCTCAGAATGGTTGAGTGCCTCTGATTTCAATCCCCATACTGGAAAAGAGAGAGAGAGAGAAAGAGAGAGAGCGCTCCTGCAGGGGGAGAGGGGACCCAGTAGGGGTTGCCACTTAAGCATACTAGGCTAGGAGCTGATACAGCTACTGGGTAGGGGGATTGATCTATATCTATGCCAATCAGGTATTGGAAAAGTACAAAAGCTAATGGTCAAAATCTTTGCAAAACAGGTATTGGAAAAGTACCAATGGTATTGGTTCTGCCCATGACCTTCTAATTGGCTGTGCATTTATAGACCTTGAGTTTGAACTTTCCTGTAACCTCCACTCAGGTTCCCTCTCCCTTCTGTGCACACCTACCCTTCTACCTCCACCCCAGGACAAAGGTTTGATTGGAATATTTGGAATTTTTTCTGATCATTCTCATGGAATGGCCTTTACATTTGAAAAATTCCCTAATTGGGGACCATTACCTATCCAATCTTATTCAGTATTTCCATAGGTAGTTCTAAAAAGTGTCAGCATTCCATTAACAACAATACCATTATTACTGCTAACAATGTATAACTAGTCCATATTTAAATTGCCCAATTCTCTAAAATTTTTTGGTATGGGGATTGAACTCAGGGGCACTTGACCACTGAGCCACATCCACAGCCTTATTTTGTATTTTATTTAGAGACAGAGTCTCACTGGGTTGTTTAGCGCTTAGCTGTTGCTGAGGCTGACTTTGAACTTGCTGATCCTTCTGCTCAGCCTCCGGAGCCACTGGTATTACAAGCATGCACCACCACGCCCAGCTCAAAAAAATGTCTTTTACAGTGGGTTTTTGTTCAAATGCAGTCCCATATAAGACCTATGCATTGCACTTAGTGAATATGTCCCTTGGGTCTTTATAAATTAATAGTCTCTTCTCCACTGTTCCCTCTTTCACCTCTTCTCCTCTGTCATTAACTTGGAGAAGATTTCAGGTCAATTGTCCTGTAAAATGTCCCATGGTCCAGATTTGTCTGCTTGCATTTGTAACCATCCCTGAATTTCCTGAAAATTGGAGGTATTCAGAAAAGCTTGAAGAGATTTAGGTTGACATCACAGCAGGAGTCTGTGTCATCCCAGCACTCTCAGCCCTTGTGCTGGGATGGGTCATGGCCTGATGGCTGTATTGTATATCCCCCATCAGCCTTTCCTCCTTCCATGGTTTTTGCTGAACCAATTAATTTATTATGCAAAAAAAAAAAAAAGCCTTTCTACTGCTATTCTTCCCACAATTGTTGCCTGGAATTCTGTAAGAAGTTTTTCTTATTAACTATAGCTATTTGGTTTCTCTAAAATACAGGTGGAGAGATGGTTGATTTTTCTATTTAGTTGCCAATTCTCAGGTGGGAAGTTGGTGTCTTCATTCCCTTGTTAGTGGTTGACATTTTTTTTCCTTTCTCTATTTTTAGAATACTGCTTCTTAACTCTGTGCTTTTATATGTTTACTGTGATCCGACTAATTGTACTTAATTTTTTTATGATTAAATTCAGCTATCACTAGTCATTATTTTTCAAGACAGAGTCCTTTTGAATAAGTTCTTCTGTCTTTTGACACAAACCTATTAGTGAGGAGAGGGAGTAATATACTTTTAAAAGGAATGAAACCTTAGTCACTTTTTGTGTCATCTCATTTTCTCCCTAGATTCTTCCCTTTGATTTAAATTTAGGAAGTTTAATCATCACCTATTCTCTTATAAAATGTTTGAAATGCTACATTATCATATAAAGTGACTGAACAGAAAGCAGACTTTAATGACAAAGGTGATGTCACAATCTACTGTTGAAGGCTGAGTTTTTGAACAAGTGGAACTGGGACAATTTGCCTTCCGTTTAGAAAAAATAAAAGTTAAATCTCTGCCTCATCTCAATTTAAAAATTGAAAGTAAAAACAAGGTTTTTTAACCTTTTGGAGGAAATCTTTAAGATACATGAGTAAGGTGGGATCTCTTACAGACAGACAAAAAAAAAAGTATTGACTGAAAAAAAAGGTTAAAAATTTTCACATATTAAAACTGATTATTTTTGTGAGCCAAGCCACCATAAAGAAAGTGAAATGAGGGGTTGAGCGCTGGTCTAGCACGTGCAAGGCCCTGGGTTTGATCCTCAGCACCACATAAAAATCAATAAATAAAATAAAGGTATTATGTCTAACTACTTCTAAAAAATAAATTTTTTTTAAAGAAAGTGAAATGAACAGTCTACTGTCATGTATATCTAAAAAGAACAAATAAAAATAAAAACATTGTTTAAAAAGAAAATGAAATGAGACAAGATTGGCACTCACGTAAATGATGAAGGGTCCATTCAGCCCATTATTCTCTGTGAGGTTGTTTGTCTTATTATTTGAGAATTGTTTTGATACACTAGATAAAGAAATATGAACAGTGTAACCAGGACAAGGTCTGTGCTGCTGCTGCTCAAAGGCCAATACTCAGGAAACCAGAGTTGGCAGGAAGGAATCAGGTTTATTCAAGGGCCAGCCCAGAAGAAGATGGAGGGGCTATATCCTCACAGCTTCATCTTGGGGGACCCAGGAACATAATGGACTTTTATAGGGAGGGGAAGGAGGAGCAGAGCAGAAAAGTATATGCTGAGTGGGGTCTTTTTTGGGGGTGGGGGAGAGTCCCGGGGGTTTAACTCAGGGACACTCAACCACTGAGCCACATCCCCAAGCCCTATTTTGTATTTTATTTAGAGACAGGGTCTCATTGAGTTGCTTAGTGCCTTGCTGTTGCTAAGGCTGGCTTTGAACTCGAAATCCTCCAGCCTTAGCAGGCATGCACCACTGCACCTGGCTGAGTGGGGTCTTAATCATCAGGGCAATCTTTCTTTTTCCTTTTCTCTGAAAATCCCAATGAACCTCAACCTCTTATGCTTTTTTAAAAGATGTTTTCTGCAAATTAAATCCCACAGCAATTTACATTGCCTTAGTTGACACATAGAAACTGTGGCTTTCACAACCACCCTGCCATGTCAGATTGTGGGGGGGTGGCACTTATTATAAAAAACTGTTCTCTAAAGGAGCTGAAACTAGTAATAATCTTATGCTAGTACCCATCTCTGAGTTCAAAATATCCTCAAACTGGATAAAAGTGAATTTATTCTGCCGGTACAGAATTATGGCTTTTGTTTTGTTTTGTTTTTCTTCAACTGCAGGTATTTTGCAGAAAGGGATTCTACAGCAGCTCAGCAGGTCCTCTCTGACTCTCTTCATCCAAAATGCAGGTAACTGTTGAAAATAAAAGATGGATTAGGCTTTATGAATTAGGTAAAGATGACCTCTTACATGGATCTGTAGATAAAGATTATCAGGAGAGTCAGTCCACCAGGAATGAGATTTAAAGTTCTCTCAAACAAGCCCTTTTGACAAATGCTGAATAGGAGGAGCAAAACTTCAGGTACTATTCCAGGATTTAGGATGGAAAGTGGCACCATTCAAGCAAGATATATAGTTAAAGAGACTGATAATGTCACTGGGTCCAGGAAGATTGAGAGGTAGGCAAGGAAGAAGTTCAGGGTTAGGAGAAAGAATTCAGAGAAACAAGCAAGTGTGGTGGGAGAAAGAAGGAACAGAAGTCATGAAGTAAGAAACCAACTGAGGAAGTCTGGAATTATTGAAGCTTTTTAATTTTTTAATTTTTTTTGTAAATTTTAGGATTCTAACTTATTTGCATTTTAATTTACCTTTCTAAATGTTTTTCTTTAATTCGTTACATGAAGGGATATCACTAAGGATGAAATAAGGTATTTTCCCCTTTGCTTTCATGTTTTATTGCTTTTATTTATTTGAGAATGATTAGTGGTAAGACTTTTTAAAGGAAATATAAATTTATGAAAAATGTTCAAAAAGCAAACATTTTTCAACTTTTTATCTGTTATAATTAATTATTTGGGGGCTGTGTCTTAATGAGCTGAAAATCTGACTAAACAAACCTGATGGAAAATATCAAGGTGTCTTTTGATAGCCATGACTGTACCCGGTTTCAGGAAGTTTTAAACCCTTTACCTCGAGGGGGAACACTTGACCCCAGGAAGGACATTTCATGTGGGAATTTCATTACATAGAGCAAATCTTCCCTTCTGTTTTATGTATCTGATTTGATTGTATATAACAGCTAATGTGTGTGTCTCTGTGTGTTATTAGTTGCTCTTCTTATAAGTAGTTCCACTATTTTGCAGTCATGGTTTTGTATCACTTTTTTTCCCTCAGCATGATGGCAGGTTAGTTGTTAGTGTTCATGTTGGTTAAACAAATCTAACATTTTATCATGACTTTCTCAAAATTCAGGAGAGGATGACTTAGACTCCCACTCCTTATTATATTCATTACAGTTCCATTTGGTGAAGGTTCATGAAATTACATTACACTTTCCTAGGTTTACATTTATAATCTTTTATAAGACTGAAAATTCATTTGCTTCATTTATTTATCAAAAGAAGGAAGAGTTTTATTAGAAAGTGAAAAGTGAAGGTAGGCACACTCCAGGTAGAATGTGGGTTAGCTCAAAATAAAAATATTTTTTAAAAACATTTTAAAAACCAATGTTTAATTAAAAATGACTATATGCCAGCAATACAAAGTGTTGCATTAATACCCCCCAAACCAAAGGAATTGATGGGTCCAATACATCATTTATCAGTTTTCTATCCTGTGCCTTTAGCAGAACATAATTGAGATCAAATTCTGGTTCTGTGCGATCCAGGTTTAAAGTAGGTGGTAGATTTCGATAATTACAAGCTGATGCAGCAAAAGCTGCCTCAGCTGCCTCTGCAGCTCCAGGAAGATGTCCTGTGGCTGTCTTCATTGAAGAAACTGCAAGGGCCTATGCATGGTCTTTAAAGAGATGTTTGATGGCTTTGTTTACAGCAGCATCTCCCAATGGTGTGGAAGTAGCATGTGTGTTGACATAGGATATGTCTTCAGGTTGAACACCTACATCTTTTATAGCAGCAGTCATATATCTGTTAAAAGAGCTTGTGCCAACTGCACCACCCTTCCTCTGTGTTGACTAATGTCAAACTTAAAATATTTTTGATTAACCATTGGAAAGAGATTTTGTCTGTGAACCATTCTCAAAAAAAGTCTTTATAGTTGTTGACTCCTGTATCCACCATCAGAGAGGAATTACTTGCAGGTTTATGTGACTACTCTCATTTAAGAAGAGACTAATGAGTATGTCCTGTGCTTGCTAAGCATAAGATAAAATTATAATTTTTTTAAAAAAAATTTATTTGTAAAATTACCATGTTTTATCCCTCAAGTTACAATACAATTGAATAAAGGAAGCTTGTGTATTTATTGTTTCAGATTGATGGTAAATGTCACTGGATACAAATCAAAATATATTGAAAATATTCCTATTCTTCTTCAGTGATGTCTGAAAGAAGTCAATTATGATATCAACGTAGGTTCTGTCAGACCCTGAATATTTCAGGTGCTCAACAGTGAAAAGTCAACATACACACTAGGGAAAGTTCTTTCCCTGTCTTTCAACAAGCATGATATATTACTGCTGTCCCAAATATCTACCTTTAGAGTCTAGAAAGAACTTGAGGGATACAAGTAAATCAGTTTATAAGGAGAATTATGACTGTGAACTTTTATGTTGATTTATTTTTTCTGAAGAAAATGATCCTATTTGTTGTTGGTTGTAGGATTGTATTATATAATCAAATAATTGGAAGATATTGGCCTTTTCAGTAGTTTCCAGTGCAAATAAAGATTTAATTTAACAAACAGAGACACTACGTGCTAAAAAGACTTTGTTAAAGAGGAAATGATGCTTATAAATTCTCATACAATTTTTAAAAATTTCACACAAAATTCTTTTTAATTTGAATGAGTTTTTTTTTTCCTGTTTGTTTGCTTGCTTGTTTTGTTACTAGGTATTGAACCCAGGGATGTTTTTACCATGTAGCTATATCCCCAGCCCTTTTTAAAATTTTATTTTGAGACAGGTCTTTAAGTTACTGAGGCTGGCCTCAAACTTACAATCCTCTTGCCTCAGGCTCCTGAGTCACTAGGATTATAGGTGTATGCCACCTTGCACAGCTGTATATGAGTATTATAAGGAAAAATCTTCTGAAGCCTCTCTGGCTGACTGGTTTGTTGGTTAGAAGTTATACTTTAAAAACAGATGGCATATTTAAATGAATTAAAAGCAGTCATTTTTAATTATAGCCAGTCATTTACATAGCCAGAAAGCATACAGAGTTAAATATCAGTTTTGCCTAATGTTTTTGTGGTTGTGTGCTGTGTGTATTATCTGCATGTTTTGCCATGTATTTGAGAGAACTCTCCTTTCTTTTGCTTAGACAGAAGCTAAGTATTCATGTCTTTAGTTTTTACATTTTATTTCATTTCAGTGCTAATGTCAGTTTTCAGCATAAAACACTGAAAGAAGGTTACATCATTCATGAAGAAGAGTGGAACATTGTTCTGCCTACAAGATGTTGTTGGGAAGGGGCAGATACACAGTATGCAAAATAATAGAATGTAAGGCAGGATTTTCAGAAAATTCTTCAAACAGTCATATTCAGGATCTCAAATTATAAAATAGATTAAAATGGAGCTCAATTAGAAGAAGTATCATCGCACTTGGAGAACAGAATTTTTTAAAACTTATCTACTGTCTTTTCTCCCTCTTGCCCTTCTTCTTCTCCCTTCCCCCTCCTTTCTTCTTTCCTTCTTTTCCTAACTCAATCATTTACTTACTAACATTTATTCGGCACCTACTGTGAACCAGGCATCACATATAGGGCTGGGCAGGATGAATACCATGAGATGAAAACCCAACAAAATTCGGTGAAGAAACATGAGTGTGTAAAGCAACCTCTGTTTAGGGGAAAAGAGATGCCAGGCAAACTTTCGGAGGAGGAGTACTTGATAAGTAATGACAGGGTATAAAGGAGTACTTAATGTTTGGCCTTTAAGGCTGTCTTTCACTGTTGCTTTAGAAGTTGACAATACTCGAACTGATTCAAGTTCTAGACTTCTCTGCATACAGTTAGCTACTTTAACATAAGCAGTAAAAGAAAGCAAGAACCCATAAAGGATTAAATGTTACTTATTCATTCATTTATTCAGCAAATTCAGCAAAACAGAATGGGAGAAGAAAAGGATGGATAAAGCAATTGGGTGAGTATGGAATTTCATACACAAAGAATGACAGACTAAACCACAAACAGAGCAAAAGTGCCCCAAGAGTGCTGTGAAAGGTGACAAGGATGGAATTCCACTTGTCCTGATGGAAATATGTAAGCCTGTTGAATTTTAAAAAGGACCATTTATATGTGTTGGGATTTATTTCTATGACTTCATTATACCACTTTGGAACCAACTGATGAGGTTTAGATAGTTATAACTGTATGGGAGGGATTTTTAGAAATCACCACTTAGAATTTGATTTGGTAGCTTTCTTTGAAGGATTTTTACCAAGTATTGAACTTATTAGATAAAATTTTACTTTAGAAACTCTTTTAAAATGCCCATTTCATCCAAAAATATTTTTGTGCAGGTTTGTAATAAGAAAGAGTATTTAAAACTTATTTCTCCTTTCATTTTAAATAGGCATATAGAAAAGGGACTATAAAATACATTTTGTGATAATATGCTTATTTAAATTTTTCTCACTTAAATGATATATGATTTATTCTGAAGCATAGAAAGTAAACCAAAATATCACCCTGATCTTATTATTCTTGTGTACCCATATTAATATTTTGTGGCATTTCATTCTAGCCTTTTTTTTCATGCACATTTGTATATATTTTAAACTTGGCTTGTTAAATACATAAAGTTTTATATCCTGCTTAAATAGTATTTAAAAATATAGTTTTAGTCAGCTGTAATATGGTATATGATATTACTGCAATCTATTTCTCTAGTCATCTTTTTTTAGGATATTTGAATAGTTTTCACATTTTGCTATTATAAATAATGCTGTGATTAATATCTTTGTGTATAAAGATTTGCCCACTTTGTATATTTTGGGCTTTTAAAATTTTTATTTATTTATCTTGTGGGGGGTACCAGGGATTGAACTCAGGGGCACTCAACCCCTGAACCATATCCCCAGCCCAATTTTGTATTTTATTATCTCGCTGAGTTCCTTAGCACCTTGCTATTGCTGAGGCTGGCTTTGAACTCGTGATCCTCCTGTCTCAGCCTCCTGAGACACTGGGATTACAGGTGTGTGCCACCGTGCCAGGCCACTTGGATATTTTGGAAGTAGAATTACCAAGTCAAACCATATGAACTCTCAACTCTTTGGGTATGCATTATTTAAACCTTATGATCAATTATAAAAGTCAAGGTTTTGATAGGGTGGAAAAGAAAGAGCAATTTGCCACTCTGATAATGTAATAGGAGTTGAAAACCCAGGTTATCATTAAAATGCTTATTTCCCATATATGCAACACTATTGGTTTTGTGGTTTTCACTTCACAGGTACTCATTTGCAATTGTGGGCATCAATATAACTGATCTGGCATATAATCTACTGGTCAGTGGAGCACTAAAAACCCACTTCTACAACATCGCTCCAGAAGCTCCAACATTGTCTCACTTCCAACAAACGTTCTGTAAGTGTTCTGTCATTTAATTATCAATACAAGTGTCTATAGAGCACTCCAGAAAAGGATCAAAGCTGAGAAATCTTTGTGCTGCTTTGGGCCCTTTGAACTCCTTCCTTTGGTTTTGAATTTTTTATTTGGTTGTGAATTTTTTATTTGATATCCCCCACTCATGGCAGAAATACTCAGAGATGACTCATTATATCATGAGAACTGCAACCTAATCAAGTGGATCAATCTTCTGATGTGGGTTAACTGGGTGGTAACTATAGGCAGACAGGGTGTGACTAGAAGAAGTAGGTTATTGGGAGCATGACCTTGGGGTTTACATTTTGTTCCTGGTGAACAGAGTTCTCTCTCTCTGCTACCCAGTTGCCATAACCTGAGCTGCTTGCCTTCTGTTATGATGAGCTGTGAAGTTAGCCAATCATGGACTGAATCTCTGAAACCATGAGCCAAAATAAACTTTTCCTCCTCTATGTGGTTCTTGTCAGGTCTTTTGATCACAGTGACAAAAAAAAAAAAAAACTGACTAAAACAGATTACTTTCTCACTCAGAAACTACACTCATATTTTTGGGCTTCATGAATTTTACTCTTTCCAGCTTTGCATGATATTCAATGTGTCAGCTTCTGGTCTGACTTAAAGAAGTTGCAAGTGCCTCTCTCCCTCTGATCCCACATGGTATAGCACTCAAGAGTACAGCTCTCTACACAGCCTGAGTTGACTGCCAGATCTATGTTTTAGCAGAAATGAAATCTCCAAGATTACAAGACAAGGTTGAAAACCTTGCCCAGAAAAAAAAAAAAAAGGCATTGATGAAAAACAGGAGTCCTGGAAAAAAGGAAAAGAAAGGAAAGGGAACCAAAGAAATAGATCAGAAAAATTTTCTGAACTGAAGGATGGACTTTCATATTTAAACTACTAAGCACCAACATAGTGGATGAAAATAGACCCACACCAAAATACCACTGTGAAATATCATGACACTGGAAAGATATGATCTTGAAATCTTCCAAAGTTGTCATATGAAGAATTTGGACTAGAGATGACATTGGACTTCTCAATAGCAACCTTGTAGTCTAGAAGACAATGGGAAAATGTCTGCAAATATTTAAGAAAACATAAAGGGAATATGATTTCTAGTTTATAATTCTAGTCCCCATCTAACTTACCAGTTAAATACTGAAATAGAATAAACACTTTTTAAAATGCAAGATCTTGAACAGTTTACTTTCTGGTACTTTTATCAGGAAGTTCCTAATAGATGTAATTCCACACAACAAGAGAATATTTTTGTGTGTGTGTGTGGTGTTGGGGACTGAAACCAGGGCCTTATTCATGGGAGGCAAACCCTCTACCAACTAAGCTATATCCCCAGCCCTGAGAATAATCTTAAAATGAATAAATGGATCCAGAAGACAGGATTTATCCCATGAGAGAAGTGAAGGGGATATTTAGGGTAATGTGAAGAGAAAGCCCAAGATAAAGTCTGTGCAATGGGCTCAAAGAAATTTCTATTTTAGCAGGTACAGAAGGCTCTGGTAGACTCTTTGCAGAATATAAAACTGATAGACTATCTACCATTTTTTGTTTAGGCATGGCGACATATACCTGTAATCCCAGCAACTTGGAGGCTGGGGAAGAAGGATTTCAAGTTTGAGGCTAGCCTTACCAATTTATTGATACCCTTTCTCAAAATAAAAAATTAAAAGGAGTGGGAATGTGGCTTAGTGGTAAAGCACCACTGGGTTCCATTCCCAATACCATAAAAAATATAGTATCTATCACGTTCAAGCACATTAAGAGGACATTGGCGTACTTTAGAGATGGTTTAAGGTTAAAGTGGAAAACTAAGCAAATAAGAAATAAGGCAGTTAAAAAATCTAAGAAGAGATGAGAAAATAAATGGTCATATGTCTAGGTGGGTGAAAGGGAGCAAAGTCTTCATCTCTTATAAAAAAGAGTTTAAAAAATATCAAGCAATGGAAACCTTGTTATTTAGAACTATAGAGGTCAGTAGTCAAAATAATCAGCTCAAAGAGTTGAAATGCAAGAATTAGGGCAAGTGAAACTGGAATATTTTTGTTTTGTTCTCTTTTTTTGAAACTAGACTTGTTAAACTATTTGACTCTGAACAATATGCATGTGTAACTTAGGTTAGAAACTAAAAGGAAATTTAAAGATGCATATACTTTATAACTTGTCCATAGAAAATGTGAGTCCCACATATAATGTCATTACAGCTCCTATTTTGACAATTGGATGATTATATTTACTCCTGTAATAACTCTGACCATCTCTAACAAATATTGAGATTTTACTGCAGGTCAGGTTCTGGGAGGAAAAAGACATCTAAACAAGAAAGTAAAACATTATGGCAAGACTTTTGTGATTGAGAAAGTAAAGCTAGTTTTTAAAAATTGCAAATACCTATGGCTTTCCTAGTTCACTAAGTCTGGGAATTAAGGAAAGCTCCCTGAAGCAACTGCCACTTTCAATGAGACCTGAAGGACGAGTGGCAGAAAATAAAGCAATAGTAGCTGAGTGGTTGGGCCAGAGGAAGTAGCAGGGCAAAGGTCACAAAACCGAAGAAAGTGGAATCAAGTAGTAGAGCAGAGAGTGTCGGGGAGGAGACAGAGTGTGACTAGAGGTGATACTGGGAATATTAGAGTAGAATGGGGCCAGATCTCAAAGAGCTTTGAAGGCCACATTAAAGAGCATGAACATATAGCTAAATAAAACCTCATGCTACATTTCCTTAGTCCATTACACTTAGCCTATTCTGTGTTTTCCATGCTCTTTATGGAAATAAGGGAAATTCTGAGGGAAAATAAAATGAGTTTAATTTTAGACAAGCAGAGTGAAATCCATGTAGAGCCACAGAATGGACATTCTAATATAAGGCTCTGGAGCTCTGAAGAATCTGAATGGCACAAGCTACAGATTTGAAATTCATCAGCATTGAGGAAGAAAATCAGTGCCACACAGTGAAGGGCATTTCCCGGGAAAATAATCAAAGTTAAAATTATAGAGAAATAGCATTTCTGTTTTGTCCACTGCCATACCCTCAGCACAGAACCTCGTACAGAGTAAACACTGAGTAACTATTTATTGGATGCATGGATGAATGGATGGGTGAATGGAAAGGAAGCTACAATATTGGGCAATGTTCTTTATAGGGGGAAGGGGACACTATATGATCTGGAAAATTTTAGCCTTGTCCTGGATTGAAATGTTTCTGAGAGTCCCAGAGCAGATGAGTAAGCATGCCATAGGATTACTTATTTCCCAAGGCACTCCTCAGGTTTTGGAAACAGCAGCAGTTCCCTGTGGATTGGCTCATAGGCAGAGGAACTGGGGAGTCTTTAGAGGAAGCAAACTGTGCCCTAGCTTCATTATTCCTTCACCAACTATGATCAGTTCTGCACGTCTCCTCTGTAATATTTTTGTAATTACCTGTGTCCTTGCACACGTCTCTGCTCTCTACTAACCCGATGCAGTGAAGCAAAACCAAGACACATTGAAGCAGCAATAAATTTGCTGCAGGCTTGAGATGGAAAGCCAAATTAGTATTCAAAATAAGTATTTCATCTAGGTGGAAGAATATAAGAACATAATGGCTCCATCATTATGACTTCACAGCATTATTCTGTGAACACTGCACTGCCAAGGGACTATGTTACAAAAACTGCATTCAATCTAAAGCTCTACTGAACACACAGCCCCCATTGAAATGGAGTGAGGTTAGGCTAGTGAGCAAAGGAACACACAATGGCCGGAAGAGGAAAAGGAATTGTCTTTTCTTTGACCTTCAGAAGAAGAACTATTCAATAAGAATAAGAACCAGAGGAACAGAATGCACAGGAAAGGCTGGCTGTTGCGGCTGTGGGAAATCAACTGGTTTGTGGTCCTGATTTCCTGCTGTCATTGTGTAACTATGCACCATTCAAGAATCTTATCTAAGCCCAGTGTCCTCTGGTGTGAAATAGAGATATAAAATCTCCATCGCCTACCCCACAAAGCTGTTGTAAGAATTAAGTGAGAGACTGTTAGCCATAGCTTGGCCTCTGTTTTCTCCTGCTTTCCACACTGCTTTGTTAGCTTCCTGAGCTAACAGATCATCAGTGGAAATTGCATACCTGTCTCCCTCTCTCCAGGAGACTGAGAAATTAGGAAACACAGAACTCGACCTTTCTCTTCATCCTCAGTACCTAATGTTGTATCTGTTACATATTTGTAATTGGAGGATGGATTACCTGACCAATTGGCCAAATGAATTTTTGAACACCCCATGTTATATAAAATGAGAAGAATTTTATGACTGTAATATGTACCTGGGATTCTGGGCCACTATTTCTGCATTTTTATTACAATCATGTTATATGATCTATAATTGCTTTTCTAATGAATAGAGAGAATCCCAGGGAATCTGTCTACAAGCTCTACAGTTTGAATTTGTAGCCTTAAGAGGAGGTATCATGAGAATGGTATCATATATGAACCACTTTATCTAGCCAATTTTTTAAAACTTCCAAGATGTTGTTCTGTAATTGTGCATAAGATAGAAAACAGGGGAAACTAAATGGAGCTGGGCTGGGGTTATAGCTCAGCGGTAGAGTGCTTGCCTGGCCTGTGTGAGGCACTGGGTTCATTTCTCAGCACTGCATATAAATAAAATAAATGGTCCAACGACAACTTAAAAATATATATAATATATAAAAGATACTATAAATGAAAGCATTATTAAAAAAACTAAATGGAACTGCGTTATTTTAGAACTCTGTGCCACATTACATCATCTTTAGAGTATTTGCCAAATATATCTACATATTATAGAAGAATGAACATTTTTATGTTTGTTGCAGAAAAATGAATTATTAAAAGATGATGATAAACATTTGCAATGGAAATGCTATGTACACTAATTTGATCATTCCACACTGTATACATGTATCAAATTATTACATTGTACCCTATAAATAGTGCAATTAAAAATAAAATTTTTAAAAGTTTTCACAGTACGTATTTATCATTGTCAACAGGAGTAAAGATGCTGTCACTCATAAGATATTAATGAGATACATCATGGACATTTTTAATTCATAGTATTAGAAACTTGACTTTCCATGCAAAATAGCTCAGGTATGTTTATTTGAGCTCAAAAACCAGTCAGGAAAATTATGCGTATTTTATATACTAAGAGAAGAAATTATACATTATCATAGATTTCTTTTAGAACCATAGAAATCTTAATATTTAGAAGGAAGCCAAGGAAACTTAAAAAGATGTCATCTTCTAGACCATAGGTTCTCAAGCTTTAGTAACACAGGATTCTTAATGAATTGCAAGTTTGGTACCCCAAATCACTCCTGGGATATTTTAAGAATTTGTTCAGTCACTGAAATGGGCAGATGATTGATTTCTTTTCATTGGATAAGACTGAGGTTAGAGGAAACAAGTTTCTCTTTGGTGTGCACCAAAACAACCAGGCTGATAAATAAACTCCAACAGGGTATGTGAGAAATGGTGAGGAGAAATAGGGATGCACAGCCTGGAGATGAGATAAGCACTGGGCATAAAGCACACTTCAGATACTTGGATCTGAAGGATCTGACTGAGGATTGAATTTGCTCCATAAAACCTAAAGCTTTAGGCTCCATGTGAGAACCATTTTAAGAGACAAGCTTCTCATCCATGGAACCATCAAGCCTGGATGCCACCTTGGGCTGCCTTGGGGAATCCAAGCATCAGATGAACACAGACAGAGAAGATGGCTCCCAGGTGACTGATACTGCTGATCTGAGTATTTTCTGATAGTCAGCCCTAGTGTGTGTACCACGGGCCAGTTGGGTGAGGGTGGATTGTGTCTCTTATCAGATATGTTAAAAGCAGTCATGTCAATTACTGCATGTGAAGAGCCCAAAGACAGACTAGTCCTAAAAGAAATGGAACAGTGAACCCAAAAGAAACATAAAATAAATACTCTCTCTCTGTGTCCTATATTTGTGTAGAGACCGTGTACTTATGGATGTATGAGCATACCTAACAAAAATAATGAGAAGAATATTGATGGGAGGAACAAGAGTACAAGTGGGTCAACACCTGGCCATATATGTTGGGGGGAGGTTACTTCTAATTTGTATTATATATATGAATAAGGATTTTTAAAATCTGTTTATGGAATTTTGTCAAAAGGATTCCCATACATTGCTAGTTACCAGAAAAACAAAAGTTGTTAAGTTTTTAATATTCAAACTGAGTATATTCTTTCTAATATGAGTCTTCATTTCTGTTCACATAAAGAGGTAAAAGAGCTGATATTTAAACCAGGTGTCTTGCTCCAGTCTTGGCTCCTGTTTTCAAATACTTTCTAAAGTTAACAAACAAAAAAGCTTGTGTAATGTTTGTTTTGATAGGATTATTTCCTTAAATACTCTTTTCTAAGATAGATTTCTATCTTTTCTAAGATAGAGTTTGCAATGAATTTATTACATACAAATACCTATAATTGTCTTTAAAAAAAAAAAAACAATCCACATTTCAATTTTAAATGTGGTGGAGGGGAGGGGGCACTATGGGAAACAGACACAATAGATTCTTGTATCAAGGACTTCACATTTTTTCCAAAATTTTCCCACTCCAGATCATTCATAGATAACATTTTTGATTTGAATATGAAATTATGTTTCAGAGCAAGGTAGTCTTATTATCAATTTCACATACTTTAATGACCAGTCTGGGTTGTTCAGAGTTGATTTACCATTCTTATTGTCTCATAATAGATTGTCAAAATGCATTTGTTTGATTTGTCAGGGTAATTTAAAATGCAGTTAAATCAAAAGTCAAAACAGAAAAGGTGGAGCAGAGTAATTTTGAAAAATTGAACCATTGTATTAATTTAATTAGGAGGAGAAGGATGAAGTAGTCACTGTTGGCCTTTCAGAATATATTCCCCATGTGATCCATATTCAAGAGATGGCAGAACTGATTTGTCTTCCTGCTTCCTGAAATTGAGAATAATTCTAAGACCAACTGTAAAAATCTTAACCAATTGCTAGCTTCTGCTTCACTGGTCTTAAAGAATAAAGAATTTTTTTTTTGATGTGCTGATTATCAAACCCCACATCCTCAAGCATACTAAGCAAGTGACTCTAACACCAAGCTACCCTCCAACCCCAAAATAATCTTAAATAGTCTTATTTGCTAAATTTTGAGTTTCTTTGAGCTCCATGGGTTCTGTGATTTTGGCCTAACTCATTCAGGATGGTTGTTTAATATGTTTAAGAACCTTTATCTCTTGTGCTCTTATCACTGCCTTATCTCTAACAGGCTATTTGATGCATGAATTTCACAAGTTTTGGATTGAAGAAGATCCCATGGACATAATGGAATTTAATCGTGTGAGGGAGAAATTCCGCAAGAGGATCATAAAACAGCTGCAAAATCCAGACATGGCACTGTGCCCGCATTTTGCTGCCTCTGAAGGTTTAATCAACATGTAGTCACCCACGCTGATTTTAATGGATACCCTGGAACACTGCCTCATTGTCGTGTTAGGTCTCTGCTTAGGTCACAGCTCATTCACTGAATGCACACAGTGATTATATGCATGCCTTTTGATACAGTATTTTCATCTCTTGGTCATAATTCCAAGATCCCCAAATATCACTATTTCTGGACTATCTGTCCTCCAGTGACTGCTCATATTATGGCATTATACAGTGTTACATCTTGCCTTGACACCCAGGTATGGAAAGAGTTTTCTATTTTTTTAAATTTTTTCCTCCCCCTCATAACTCAACATTAAAGACTTGTATTTCACTAGCTGTATTTTGTATGTAAGAGGTTTAGCTGAATCTTGTTCTGTGAAAGCCTTTTAATTTATTGATATGTTTCATGACTACTGCTGCTAGCTTTTCAAGCCAGGTTCATGCTTGGACCTCATTTCTGATAAAGTATAAGACTTTAACATAATACAGACAGACACATGATAAGCCAAACTCTTCCTGCAAACCTAGCTGTGCTTCACAAAAATGTAATGAGGCTTACAAGAAGTAACTTTAGGTAGGAGCTGTTTTTGTGTGAAGTTCTGCAGAATTATTTTGTAACTTAATTCCAGTTGCAATTGTATCATGGTCATCTGGTGATCAAATGATTTTTTTTTTATTCTCATAATTTCACTGGCTTGGATGTCTAAATATGTTCATGATTCTTGGAGCCTCAGAAGAGAAGTAAGCCAATTTCAAAAGCTGCAAAAGGTTTTTCACTGCCCTCCTCTTCTTGCTGAACTCAGAGTTATCCCCCAGCACTGTTCTGATCCAAGCATCTTTGCTTGGGGAACTGAGTGCTGACTGGTTTGTTTTCTATGTCAATGGGCAATATTAAAAAACAATTTGCAAGAAAATGTGTTGCAAGAGAGAAACCAAAACTATGTCATTCTGCAATATTTCTTGAAAATAATGATCTTATCAGTGGAAGAAGTAAATTGCTTGGAAAAAGTAAAGTGAAATCATTCCAAAACTGCTAAAAATCATTTCAAAAAATGTGATTTAGTTTGGAATTATGATTGTAGTCTGTTGAATAGTATTTACCATGGCATTTCATACCCATGGTATTTTATACTTTCAGACTATCAATTTTAGTATTATTAGATGTTTGTGTAATCACTTGCTTATTTAAATGAATTTTGAGTACTGCCTGTCAGATATATGAATAAATTACATGTCATTCTACTGTAATGGAGAGTGGATTTCATATTAATAATTTTTGTGCTCGTACAGCTTCTGAATATGCAAATATGTGATCGGGTAGAATGTCAAAGACAGATGACCTGAAGCTGATTGTAAATCATGCCATCTTTCAGATTAACTGGGCGTGAGTTAGCATGAATTATGTCTGAAAAACTTCTTTATTTTCAAGGTCTTATGGTGCTTTAATGAAAGAATAAGATCCAGCTTTTTCTTCCTTATTTCCTATACCATCTTGCGTGGCCACTGCTAGACAGCTGAGGAAAACACATACCACCCATTGTTTCCTCACCTAATCTAGTTCCTCCAGGACTGTGTGATTCATCCTCTGCCTTTTTTTGATCCTGTACCTGGTGGCAGCATTTTGCATTGCCTCTGTTAGAATCCCTGCCCTTTCTTAGAATGCAGAGGAGAAGGAGTTGGTTAACATGTGATGCATATCATGAGTAATGACAAGAATGTGTATTCCTCTCCAGGGAAGTGAGAAACGGCAAGCCTTGTAAGCGGCCTGTCTTAAGAATGCTCAATTGCCAGTGCAACTGCAGCTGCTGGAGATGAAGGCATTATTGTATATGCAGCTCAGCCTCTGTCAGCCACATGTGGGCACTGTCTCTTTCTATCCACTGTGGTCCCGTGTCACTGCCATGGCTTGATAGTGTGTGGCACTTACACCAGCTCATGTCTCCTCTGTTCAGGAAGAGATAGTTGACATTAACAAAGCTAAGAGTTTCCCCTCTCAGCTCCTTTAATGCTGTCTCTCTGTTGTATCTTAACATGGCTGCACAATTTTGAAAAAGCTCTGCCAACTCCTCCTAGTTCTGAATATTATTAGATTTCTCATTCACACCTCTTTCTGGAAGATGCCTGCTACCCAGTAACACAAAGTAAGGTGAGAAAGAGAAGCTTCCAAAAGCTCCAGAAATGTGGTGTGTGTGTGTGTGTGTGTGTGTGTGCACGCGCGCATGTGTTTCCCCAGAGTATTTTTAGCTTGCTTATATTTATTCCATTGAACAAGGATTGACCACGTAAAATGTAAATCGTGTAGCAAGCTTCTTGCAAGTGTTTTTCAAACACTGCTTGCTATGGTTAAAATATATTCCAGCTTGGACTATAGGAAAAGAAAAAAAATGTTTTTTGAACACCATTTCTGGAACTTGATACTTCAACCTGACTTTCCTTCTCACACTTCTTGTTATTTTAATGTAATGGGGAAAAAAAGTCTTCATTTCTCCTATATTTGAAAAGAAACTTAACTATACACCAACTCCTAAAGACAGAGTGAATTTTATAGCATATCTTCCAAGCCAGGTCACTTTTGAGAGATAAAGAAGATGCTCTTAATTTCTTTAGTACATCAAGGTAAACTGGGAAGTTTAAGAAACTGTGATGTTAGGTGACCACAGTAGACCAAGAGATAAATGTAAGAATTGTCCACTCAACTCTGTTAGGCAAATACAACCTTTTTTTTTTTTTAACTTTCTGATCTCTGGCAAGAGAAGTATATCATGGGGTTCTACCCCAAATCACAGAGACCTTTCAAAGGTATGGGCTTAGACTGTGCTGAGAATTTCAACTTCAAAAACTGTGCCAAAATTAGTAATGGGGAAATAAAACTTGGCACTCCAACTTCATGGCTACAGATTACATTGACCCATAAAACATAAGGGACAAGACTCAAATTGGGAGTGAGGACTGGACCAGAGTTGGTACAACGTGAGGACAGGGGATGGGGGATGATAGAGAGAAGAGAAAGGGACAGACGAAAAGAAAAGTTAAAATTCTCAGCACAGCGAACCCACATCCACATGTGGGAAATTGAGCCATAGTGGCAAGTACTCTATCAAAGCCAAGCCTCTAACTCTCCAGGAAGTAACAGAGATAATTGCCCTAATCTAGAGACAAAAGGCAGGAAAGCAGAACAGAGATAACATGAAGTCCAGGAAGAAGGAAAAGATGCTGGCTTGGATTCCATTTCAAGAGCTAAGATTTAATGAGCTCTTATGCCATGTCCCAGGACTGTGTCATCTCCTGACAATCTATGAAATCAAATGGTTTTTGTTTGCTTTCTTTTCTTTCTTTCTTAGTACTGGGAATTGAACCCAGGAGCACTGTACTACTGAGCTCCATTTTTTATTTTGAGACTGGGCCTCACCAAATTGCCCAGGCTGACTTCAAACTTGAGATCCTCCTGCCTCAGCTTTTGAGTCTTTGGGATTGTGGGTGTGCACTCTTACTTTCTTTTCTTGACTTATTGCTAAGGGTCTCAAGAGAAAGGTAAAGGGAAAAGCTAGACCTTTAGACAAATGGCCTTTTGCCTAGACATCTAATCATTATGCTATGCAATCTATCTAACTAGAATTCTTCTCTACTATTCCAGGTGACTGGTGGGTTATAAACACCTACGATGCTCAGACCCACTCATGTGTGTGCTTATATACACACACACACACACACACACACACACACACCATACTGCCCCAAGCAATATGTGTTAATAAATATTTCTTGTTCAGATATCTGCAAGATGAATTCAAACCTGCACATCACAAATGCTACCTCACTGTTCCTCAGGACTTCCCACATTTTTTTTTAATCAGAATTTTCTCCCTTTGATACATGACAGTTCTGATAGTATTTTAAGCTCTTTCTCCTGATCCTTGCCTTCCTAGGCAGGTGGTGTAGTGCTGCATATTTCATTCCTGCTCCCTGGAGGGAAACCTCATCAAGCTGGGTTTGTGGGGCATAGCTGAGGGCATCCTCAGGCCGGATGCTGCAGGGCATTTCTGTGGGAAGAGAAATACAAGGGGCTTTGGACAGGTGCACTCTTCAGAAAGAAAATCTCCCTAGTGACCTGTCAACCTAAGATAACCTCCAGAATGCTGCTAATCAGAAAAACTAACAGAAATGGTGTTGTCCTTAATTCCCTGGGATATTTCATGGAAACTCAGCAGAGATGGTAAAGATAAGGGTCAGGGCAAGGTTACAAGACTGAAATGTTGGCTATTTTTATCTGTTACCTAGGACTGTGCTATGCTTTGGGACATAGAAGACAGGTTTATGGCAATTAGGAAAGTGTGTCAAAGAGAAGGGAAAACAAATTAAATTTGTAAAACTATAATTAACCCCCCTCTCCCTGCCCCCCCATGCAGTACCAGGTAAGGGGTCCCTTTCTGATTGCCTAGCACACATGGGTTCAGATGCATTCTGCAGCATCATGGGGCTCCGGGTTTGAAACAGACTTTTTTATGGAAATTTCTGAAGTCAGAATCAGCAAGAGAGGAAAGTATGAGTGCATTCCATTGCCCCAAGGCTTGACAGGTACTGTACTAGACACACTGTAGGTATTGTCTTTAAATCACTGTGACCAAAAAGCCAGACAAAGACCAATTTAGAGAGCTGAAGCTGTGGCTCAATGGTAGAGCGTTTACCTAGCTTGTGTGAGGCACTGGGTTTAATTCTCAGCATCACATTTAAATGAATCAATAAAATAAAGGTCCATCAACAACTAAAAAAATATTTTTAAAAAGACTAATTTAGAGGAGGAAATATTTATTTTAGGATCATGGTTTCAGAAGTCTCAGTTCAAGGTCAGCTGACCCTACCACTTTAGTCCCAAGATGAGGCAGAACATCATGGTGAAAGGGTGGTGGCAGAGACGGGCTGTTCACCTCATGGTGGCCAGGAAGCAGAGTTAGAGGGGAAGGGGCTGCAGGGAAGATAAACCCTTCCAGGGCATATCCCCAGTGATCCATCTCCTTCAACCACTCCCTGCTTACAGTTAGTTCATTCAAACTAAGATGGACTGATTATGTTACAGCTCTCCTAATCTAATCACTTCACCACCTGCATTAACACGGGAGCTTTCTGGGACACCTCGGATCCAAACTCTAACAGCAGATATGAATTCAGGTATATAGAGACATATCACACTTGTCTTTCTTTTATGGTAAGCAGAAAAGCAGCTGTATCAGAGGAGTGATGAGCCAGGCAAGCTGGATCTACCTCCAGCTAGTTGGAAACCAGGTGGAGCCCAGCACCTGGAGTCCTTGGTTGGGGGACACGAAACTAAACCAATCAGGGTCACTCCAAGTGAATTTGGGCTGACTAAATAAAGATGCAGATACACAAAGTACCTTTTCTTTGGGTTCAGTGACTGCTCCTCAGACACAGCTCCCATGAGGGGGACAAGGCAGGCAAGAAAGAGAAAGAGCACACTGGGTTTTATTAGGGAGAAGCCATTCAAATGAAGCAAGGGGTAGGGTTACAACAAACATGTGGATGTAATCCAACTCCATCAGGTGACGCCCACTCCTGGATCTGCACCTCTTTTATCCAAGTGGAGGTAAGGTCCAATTGCATTGCAATGAGTGCAATACCAGTTCAGTACCTCTTTACTCAGGACTTAAAGGTATATACATAGCTCCTGTCCAGATTGGCTCCCAACACTTTCGGTCTGTGGGATGTTGCCCTTGGGAAGAAATTCTTTGGTTTTAGGGGAAGCTAAGTCCAGGTGCAAACTCTGCTGGGAGAAAGGAGGCTTCAGTGGCAGCTGGTTTGTCCAAGTAGCCCAGAGAGCACACTGGCTATTTTTGACAAATCTCCTCACACCATACTACATTTTTGACATGTTAGCTCTTCTGCGCCAAGTGTATAACATATAGAAAAATACAGACATGAACTCAAATTGTAGGATACCAAAAGTATCTTTTTTTGTTGGTCAAGTTTTATCTTTTCTGCAGAGTACAACAGAAAAAAAACATGTACTGGTCAGTGTATGTGCTCTGGCCTTCCTTAAGTCACTGTCTTAACCTCTCTGACTTTGCTTCACCATCCATAACAAAATAATAATGATCACTGCTCTTCAAAGGATTGTGGTAACAGCAAAAATAAAATAAGGTATTATTAATTAAAGTGCTTGGGAAACTCCAAAGTAATACATATATGTTTAATTATGGTTTGGTTTTTGTCCATTTGATTTTTAGCTAAGAGCT